GCGCTCCGACGAATTAAGTGGTGGACTCACGGAGCAAGCCCAGAATGCTTTCCCCCAAGTACTGGCGTATTCAGGAGCACGCCGGAGCACCGCATGTATTGGAATCTAAACAGGATCGCGCCCGCCCCAAGGAGCGGACATGCCGGGCCCACGTAGAGCGCCGTCAACTCGGGACATTCCACACATGCCATGATGCACGCTTCTTCCTGTTTGCCAGTGGAATGGCCCCATAATCGAAAAGAGAACGAGCACCGTGTGGTGTAAATTTTAAGTGCCCCATGTGTTGGCGTTTACAAGGGATCGCGCAGCTCGGAGGACGGCGACATGCTGTACACAGCGCGAGGGTTCCTCAAGCGAAGCAGAGGGCCGAGGAGTCGCGTGCTTTGGAGCTTGCAAGGGATCGTGCCGATCGCGCGAAATGCCGAGAGCCTTGCCATTTTCGAGGCCCAGGCGGCGTGTCTACTCAACGGTGGCACCTTGCAAGGGATCGCGCAGGCCCAAAACAGAGGGCGGCTCTCGCCAGCCAGTGGCCCCGTCTTTAAAGTAAGTTAGATTACGGACAGTATCAAGGCAAGAGAAACCAAACAGGAATACCGGGACATCCTGTCATCACATCATATAGATCGAAGCACCTCCACTGAAAAACCCTTTGCCAACGCTTTCGGGAAAAGGTGTCTCCAGAAGCGGTTTGAACTTGTTGAACTTCCGGAATTAAAGGTCTCCTGCATTTGCAGGCAGGTGAAACGTCTGGGCTGAACCGCAATAGCAATGCTGATCACCAGCTACTGGTTGATTTTGAGTCATCTCGGCATAATATGAACACTTGGTGGATCTAGTCTGAGAAGCGGCAATGGAGAAGAAAGTCACGTGTAGAAGTACACAGTGGGCGACATCAGATCAGGCCGCACTCTTCAATTCCTCCAGGAGTGAATTCTTCTCACTCTCCCCGATCATTTGAACGCCGAAGCACCAATCAATGAACTCCTTCAGAAAGAGCAAGCAGTCACTCAAGCTGTCTTACAGGCCATTCACGAAAACACTTGTAACCCTAACAGTACAAGTGAGCATAGCTCCCCGCATCTCCAGCCGGATGTCAGTTGCGCATGGTAACATATGACTTGGTTCATCCGTCCATGAGGCTCGTATGGCAGCCCAAAATGCCGGCATAACCCCTGCTTGCGCCCTCTTTCGGGTCGAATAGAGGGTAGATGGAGGGTCGAGGTGTTCCTCCAATTTCTCCACCTGCAGATTTTGCATGAGGGAATTTAATGGGCCGGCTCATCGCGCCTATCCTGCGCACCAGATGTTACCGAAAGCCTTCGCACTGCTTCGGACTCCCTGCTGTAGTCTCTGAAAAAGCTCGCGCCACAGGACTGAACCACTTATGCAGAAGTTGTCCATGTTGCTCTTGACACATAACGTATCCCTCTTGCACGAGACCGCTAGCCGCTAAGGACAAGAAGCCCCCGTCGCTTTCATGTTAGGCTTTCCGTATGTGCACGCAGATATCTGTTCCTGGCTCAGTCTTGCCGTGCAGGATTACAATCTCTGCTCACGGTTTTTCGAAAAGCTGGTTGCGCAGCCCTGCGGAGACTATGGATGATAGTGAGGCCTCGAACGAATTGCTTGTGTGTGTGCTCCTCCCGCTCGGCGTCACCAAAGATTCTCTCTCAGTCTCTGCGTCTGCGACCGAGCACCTACTAAAATTCCCTCCCCCGCAGTCCAGTAAGTTGAGTCGGCCGTCTGCATCGGCATCGACCGCATCAAACAACTGATCCTCGGCTGTCCAGGCAGGCCAAACCCAGCACATGACTGAAGCTGGAAGGGTTGATGATGCGGAGTGTTAGCTAGACGCGTCTTGATGCTCTGTAAGCCAAACTTCTGGGAAGTGAGAGTGGTCGCTTTTGAAAACATGGGTTTGTCAAGCAATCGGCAGTCGGGCTTAAGTGTCCACAGCAGGTCCGTAAATTTGAAATCCAAAATCGAAGCACTTTACTACTCTCAACTTTACACCCAACTTTACTATGGTCCAACGTCTGCCTTAGCACTTCCGAACGAGGCACGATCTCAGCAGCGCTCATTATCGACGGTAGCGCATCCGCGAGGGCAGTCAACATCGCTTTCGCCCTGGGCCAATA